GTATATCATTGACCCTGTCAATTACATTGACGAGTGTGAACTGTCGTTGGAATGCCTAATTCTAACGACAGTTGACACTCAGCGATGTAATTGACAATGGTATAAATAGTTATATAGATTGTCTCTTTTCTTTCTCCACTCCACCCTACACCCCACCACTCCACCCCACCACTCCACCCTACCCCCCACTTTACTCCCAATTTGCATCTGCCCCACTCTACCCCACTATCCCACTCTACCCCACTATCCCACTTTATCCCACTCTACCGCAGTTTATCCCACTCTACCGCAGTTTATCCCACTCTACCACAGTTTATCCCACTCTACCACACTTTACTCCCAGTCTGCCTCCGCCCCACTTTATCCCACTCTACCCCACTTTACTCCCAGTCTGCGTCCGCCCCACTTTATCCCACTCTACCCCACTTTACTCTCAGTCTGCCTCCGCCCCACTTTATCCCCCTCTACCTCACTAGACCCCAATCTACCTTTACCTCCCACTTTACCCAACTCTACCTCATCCACTCTACCCGATTTCATGAAACGTGTTGAAATTTTTTATTTAAAAAGCAAAATTCTAGCTTTTTATAATAGCAAGTTAAAATCTCAATTGACCAATCAATCTCAAATTAAAATGTATTTACTTACCTGAAACATAAATTTTTGCAAAAACCACTTTCTAACAACTGCACTGTACGAAAGACCAACATTAAATGATTTAAGTTAGGCTATGAACGTAAACAATCGAGGTTCAAGCGCATGCGTTCAAAGTAATGCCAACGTAATTCCATGTAATACCTTGGTAATACCAGTAATGCCGTCGTAATGCCAAGTAATACCGAGTAATTCCACCGTAATGCCAAGTAATACCACGTAATTCCGTCGTAATGCCAAGTAATACCGCATAAAACGTACATGTATTGCCAAGAGTGAAAGACCCCTCGATATTTTCATAGTTCCGCTAAAAAAAAAAATTGTTTTATTTTTTTGGCCCAGTCTAATAAAGGTGTTTCAACTCCCTGAAAAAACATACCAAAACCCGGCGTACTTAGGCAAAAATCCGCTAGGTTCGCTAGTGTCGTTACGGCGGAAAATTGCGGCAATCTTTTTGTCTGTCTGAAGAAGTGCAATCATAAAAATATTCTTCTATGGTAAAAATTCGAGTTTACTTGAAATGAAAAATGACAAAACTATCAGAAGAAGTAAAGATGAAAAAATTAATGGTCAACAAATAAGTTTATTGTTATTGATGGTTGCTTATAAGTGTTTTTTTTTAAACAAGCTACACTGATGTGTGCGTTTATACGATCAAAAAAAGTGTTCAAGATTTAATAAATATGCTCCAATTAAGTTACAAGTTGCTGCTAAATAAGTGAAATGGGGGTGTTTATAAAAACAACTGATTTTGTTTTGTGTTCAAATATTAACTTTGGCTTTGGCAAAAACAGCAATACAGTGGGTTACTGATTATAAAATGAAGAAGTGGACCTTAACTATGGTACTCAGATTGAAGCTTATTATTTTTAAAGTGAGTTTTGTGATTTTCATTGCACAGATTAAAGATATTCAATAAACATTTAGTTTATTACCTACTATAATCAAATCCATACATAGTGATTGGAATCACAATCATTTCTGTGAAATAGCATTATACCAGAATAATGAAGTCTCACTGGAGTATATGTTTCCAAAGATCAGTAAGTACCTACATCAATTATTATTTTTATTAATATCAGTAATAATATACATCTCACAGAATAACAAGGTTGTAACTGCACTTTTTGGAAAAAATGAGATTGGTAGAATGTATTAATTTGTTTTTGTGACCAATACATTCATCTGTTAATTATCAATGTTACTATATGTTGTGTTATCGAAGCACTAAAGTTATTCACATGGTTCTATCTGCATGTACATAGAACTTGTACAGTTTTTAGCAAGTGTCAATATAGTAGTTAGATCTTCATTATTCCCCAATCCCTAGCGAATGTAGTCTCCATCCTCCACAATTATATTAAAATTAAGGGCCAGGTTTTTACCTCTGAATAAAGTTGAAAGTAACTACTAGCTAATTAGGCTATAGATTGTACTTACACGTAATATCAATTTATAGATATAGTTTATAGATTGAAAAAAATTGTTTATTTTTAAATAATATGAGCTTCATAGGACTTCGGTTCTCAGCTCTTGTCAATGAATAATAATAATAACTTTACTAGAGGTGAAAAAATCTGCCATTAAAAGAACAATGAGCTTCAGGGCATAAAATGTATTAAATATAATGGGTGTTTTTTTATTATTTAACTTTTTGTTTTTAATCAGTTTTGATTGAATATTATAAAAACATTGGTATATGATCCCTAGGAAGATTTATAATATAGAACAATATTTAAAAATTCTGAATTAACAAAAGTATGTATACAAAACCATTATTTTCTCTTATAAGTGTTTTCTCCCTTACTGAAACTAAATACTAGAAACAAAGTTTTAACTGGAAGTTACTACTATGCTTTATCAAATATTCTAAAAAATGTAAGTGGTTCTTTCTGCATTTTTTAGCACATAGGATTTTCTCTTAAATTAGAATTAGAAACACAATGAAAATCAAACAAGGTATTGGCTATACAAACTTCAACTATGATTTCCAAAAAATAACTGCCTTTCTAGATACAATCTTGTTATTCTAATGTGACAGATGTAGAAGATTTATACAAATGTGAAAAACGTTTTACAAAAACAATATTCTTGATAAAAAGTTCTGCAATGCTAGATGAAATTTTTAATTAGGCATCAAATTTGTAAAATGTTAGATGGTATGTAGGTATCTAGGGAAAATAAAAAATATAAGTATAATGAAGAGTAAGAAATTTTAAATTTTAATATACCTAGAACAAAATATTTAGTAATTAAAAATTTTGATAGGAATTAAAAATTATGCTCGAGTTTAAATGTTGCACTTGTTTTTAAGTGGTTTTGATTTACTTTAGATCTATTCCAACAATGCTCAGAAATGAGTTATTGACATCAGGATTCTGCACTGTAGATTATTGAGACCGCAAAATTGTGTATTACCCAGTGATTTGTTTCTGATCGTAGTTGGAACAAACCTTTTATTCAATTAATAATCGAACTAGTTGTGTGTATTTGAAATTTTTTAAATTTTACAAATCTGGAGCTTGAGTTTTTTTTTTTTTTTAGTTTCTTGTTCATTTAATAAAGATGCTTTTTTGTATACGGGGTGATAATTTTTAAGCAGAGGTGTGCAGCACCCACAAGATAAGTGCCAGAATTAAAGCAAATGGGTAATCTAGAAATATAGAGTGGGTTCCCTCCACAAGATTTTCAAGAACTTGTAAATACAATGTATTAATGAATTATTGCCATTATCAAAGTTAAAGGTGATGAAACACTGGTGAAAATTTGTAAATATTTAACCCTTTCAGTGTATTTGCCCCTCCAGAGGGGCACTGTCTTAATTAACCCTGAAGTATACATATGTTAATTTTGGTAGAAATTTTTTCTTTTTGGTTTATTTACTTTATTTGCATTAATTTTAAGGATTAATATTATAAAAAATATCAGTCACTAAAAATTTGAGAAGTAAGCTAATTGAAATGTAACAGGGCTCCTATAGTTTTATTTAAAAAGTAAACCTTGTCATTAATTAAATATAAATGATTATTATATTATATTATTGAAATATATAATGTAAAACAAATTTTTGTAGTTTTTCTGAAATCGGGAGTGTTGTCAGGTTTGTTACTGTCTGCTGCTAACTGTGATGAATACAACTAAAATAATAAACCTACTTATTGAGTATATTAATATGAATTGTACTACTTATTTTTTCATTACTGCTATTATCTAATAGAACATTTTCTATGCTTTTATCTAATATATCATTTTCCACCAATAAATATAAAGAAATAATTAGTAAAATTATAAAATGAATTCTAATTAAATAATGAACTATATTAATTTAAATTTATTAATATAAGAAATGAATAAATTAAGTTTGTAAAAGTGTAATAATGGGAAATGTGTAAATTGTATTTATTTCTAATTTTAAATAATTTTGTGTGTATTGTTAATTTTCTTTCTAATGTAAAATTAATAAATTATTAATTTTAACAAAAATTTAATAAGATGTTTTATTTGTGTTAGAATCCGAATACAATAAGAAGAACACTGCTGTGTCATAATAATTACTTTGAATTTCAAATACATAGTATCTATAACTTAACAATAAATAAATATTAAGTTGTTACTTAGGTATAAAAAAATATTTCCTATATTCCTAAAAGATTAACACTTGACCCCCCAGTGGATAACTTCAGTAAGCAATACTTTCCACATTCTCGTCTCCTTTGAGAAGTAGTCCCATCCTAAGTAATGAAAGCAGGAACAGCATTTTTTAGGTATTTTTTTTATATTTGCGCTGCACATTAAATAATGGTAATCTTGTAACTGAAGGGTCTGGAAATGCACCTATCTGCACCATTCTTGTTCTGGCTAGTTCTGATAGTTGGAATCATAACATATAGTTGCAAGTTTATATTTAATTATTTGGAACCGGGGAATAAGCAATAACTTTTACTTTTAATCATCTATTTACCAATTTTTACATCAATTAAAAATCCCATAAAAATAAAAAAAATTCTGAAGATTTTCAAGTAATATGATCATTATTTTTAATGTCAATAATACCTTTCAATAGTAATATTTAGAAAATTCAAATTTGTGTCAAATTCTAGACTTCAGTGCAGAGTGGTGTAAATATGTCCATTTCTAGACCCATCAACTACAAGATTACCATACATTGAATATATCTAGTCTTATATGCTCTAAGAACTTGACTATCAAATAACCAATCAGAAGCTAACATATAGACACAGAAAATTCAAATCGCTCCTCCTAGTTTAAAAACAGTTTAGTTCATTGCACCATTGTAATTAATAAATGTATTTAGCAGAAATAAACTTTTATTATTATTAATATAGATCGAACATGCCACTAGCCTCTATAATGAAATCATTTTTTATAAGGGTTACACTATTGAAGGAGAAATTTCACAACTCTCTACCTAGCAGTGAATTCACACTAAAATGTTTATTGAGCAACTTTACAAATATTGTGCAAAATTCCTATGCAGGGTACCTACTCAAGGCCACTGAACTGTGAGTCACACAATTCTTATTAAAACCTATGCATCACAAATTCACAAATCGACAAACTAATTCACAATCACAACATTGACTATTTAATATTTGGAGTTCAGCCCTGATCGACTTTGATAAGAATGACAGAACACTACAATGTCATCAAAAGTAGGAATAAGCAATGTTTTACTCACCAATAGTTGGTATAGTTGTTACAATTTCTCCTAATTTTAGTTTATATAAAATTGTGGTTTTACCAGCAGCATCTAAACCTACCATCAATATCCTCATTTCCTTTTTGCCAAAGAGGCCTTTAAATAAATTCGCAAACACATTACCCATTGTGATTGCTTATGATATAAACCTGAAAAAAAATACAAACCGTTAATTTATATTCTACTATTTATGCTGTATTCGTCGTTGTGGGTTTTCTAAATATAGAACAAAGACCAAATTGCAAAAATAGGGTTAAAAGTCCTTACGAAAATTGACATATTGATTTAAAATTTTCTCAAAACTCCCACACTTCTAAATTAAAATAAATAAATTAAACCTCGCAACAAAAGGATCCAAAATGAACGTTAATTTAATCAATTTCTTTCTTCAATTCAGTAATTACGTACACAATGAGATGAAGCCGATTTTTTGACTTGTTGTCACTTTATACTAAACCCCAACTTGCAGCTTATCGTAACGAAAACGGCGATTAGGGCGCAAACTACACCACAATGCTTTTACACAATATAACTACATAAAGTTCGGATATTATGGCTTGTTTTGAGACGTACCTTTTGAAAAAAAACACCTTATACTTTTGAAAAACGCTAACACATTCACCCGTCCTCCCAAAAAATTATCTGATGTCAATATGGCGGACTAAGAAGAGAATCGCACTTCATGCCACGTCTTGAGAACCAGCGTGTCGTATTGGCCGGCGCATGACACGTGACCTTTAGTCATCGTTCTCTAACCTGAAAACATGGCACGTTTTAAACATTAATGAAAAAAATACAATCTAGTTTTCGAAGTATTTATTAAAAATGCCATATCCGAACTCTCCTTTCGTAGAAAATTTTAATTCCAAACTGATTAACAGCTTATTAGTAGAAAAAAGTGAAAACAAAAAAACGGTAAGTAGAGCGAATTATATTTTGTCTGAATTTGCGGTTGGTAGTACCGAATTATTAAACGGTATTTTTTTCAGATTTCAAACGATGATTTAAATAAAATTCTTAAATGGCTGTGCTCATCGCCTAAATTAACATCAATACGAGTAAATACCCTAAAGGCAGACGTAGAAAAAGCTCTACAAACAATTAAATCCCATTTTGCAACATCGCAGCCACTAAAAATGTTCGTTCATCCTTGTCTTTCTAATACTATACTGATTGAAAGCGAAGATATTAGCAAGAAAACTTTTCCAAAATTTGAAAAAGAAATAATAGTAGACACGGAATGTGGTTGTGCGGTACTTAGAGGTGCACATATTTTTGCACCTGGTGTTTTAGGAATGGTTTCAGGTAAAAAATACATTTCAGATTTAAAATTTTACATTTATATTCAGTACCAGTGGTACCATTTTACACTACTAGTCAATGCTGCCATCTACATGATACCCACGAATATTTAAGTGTCAAACTTTGCCAGGGTTGTCGCTTTAAAATTGTTATTAATTCTATTATTTGCCAATAGATGTCAGGATATGTATTAAATAATCATTTTTTAAAATCTGCAGTGGGATTCTCATCTTTAATTCGGTACGTGTTGAGAAGCTTCTATCTTCGTTTGACAGAATGGGATTCTTATGTAATGTCTCTCTCTATTCAACACATGACGTGTTGAGTTTACACATAAGAATCCCTGTCATCTATTAATTTATTTGTATTTCAAGGTTGCCAAGTCGATGATAATGTCAGCATTTACGCCGATATTGCAAAAAAGTGTAAAAAAGGTTTGCAAAAAGTGTACGAGGGGCAAAAATTGTTCATTGGAAATGGTAGAGTTAAGATGCAACGTCATCAATTGTTTGGCAAAAATATTACGTCGAGGTAAGTTAACACGTTAGCTGCGTAGGAGGTTTTATATTGTTACAATTTGATTATTTTTTGATTATCTATCCAGTGGCGTTGCAGTAGAAATTATGGAAACAATTTCAGGATGTTTGGCTATAAGCGATAATGTTTTATCGTTGGGACATGGTTTGCTTCAAAATTTGCCTTCGATATTATGTGTTCAGGCATTAACGCCACTGCCCGGTGATGTTGTATTGGATATGTGTGCATCTCCTGGAAATAAGACCACGCATATAGCAGAATTAATGAAAAACGAAGTAAACTAATCTAAAAATAAGTACCTATCACATTCCAATAAATATGTTTCATGTTTTTTAGGGAACTTTAATTGCGATAGACAAGACTCCAAGAAAAGTAAATCAATTAAAAATTCGTTGCAAAGATTTTGAATCCGAGGTTTTTGCTTTTCAAGCAGATTCCACGTCGATAGTAGAAAAAGAAAACCATTTGAACTCCAGAAACGTAACTGACGGTCCACCGTTTTTGGCCGAAACGTTCGACAAAGTATTACTCGACGCGCCCTGTAGCGTGTTGGGCAAGCGACCGCAGTTGGCCAATAGAATGTCGGAAAACGAAATAAAGTCGTATGTCCCTTTGCAGAGAAAACTGTTAGAAGCGGTAAGTGTTTAAATGAGTCTTATAGCGTTTTTGATTCCAATGCTTAGCTTTGAGAGCATAGAAAAGGTGGGAGATATGTCGATATCAGTTACTTTTCACTCTAAAAAGTAACCGGTATCGATATATCGCTCGTCTTTTATGTACACTCCCCGCAGAAAGGGCAGTGGAATCGAAAACTCTATAAGACATTTTTAAAATATATAAATTTATTATTTATTGTATTTTTAGGCAGTAGATCTGCTGAAACCTGGAGGAAAAATGGTTTACAGCACTTGTACCATAACCTTGGCAGAAAACGAAGGATTGGTAGCGTGGGCGTTACGGAAATTTCCTAATCTCAAGTTAGTTAAGCCTGATTTAAGTTTAGGAGGACGAGGTTGGACAGGAAGTTCTTTGACAGATGAGGAATTAAATATGGTGCAAAGATTTGGACCGGATGATGAAGTAGATTCGGTTGGGTTTTTCTTTGCGTGTTTTTTAAAAAAAATCTGATGGGTATTTTATTTTACACATTTTTGGATTTATTATTTTTCATTTTATATAATAAAAATTGCTATATTAAGGTTGTTTCTTTTTATAAAATCATTAACATTTCTTTTCTTCTTTAATTATGATTCTCTAGAAAAAAATATCTCAGTGGCGTAACCAGAAATTTCTCATGGGAGGGGTTTCTGAGTACTATGGGGGGTCCATCAACAAAGTGAAATATTTCCGATAAGTTTGTTAAAAAAGTGAATAAAAACAAACAGTTAGGTAATAGCGATCAACGCCAATACAATGGCAGAACCCCCCTCCATGGGGGGTTCGGCCCCCAAAACCCCCCATGTCTGCGCCACTGAGTGATTTGTAGGTAAATATATATTTATGTAAAATTCTTAAGAGGTACAAGTAACAATAATATGGGCGCAAATGCATGGGTGCAGGGAATAGGTTGCACCCATATTGTCCCAAAGATCGGCATTTTGCATTTTGGGGTATACGGGGGTACCCTGTGATTGCAAGTAGAGGCCATATTTATAAAATAAAAGAAACTTAGTAGTAGTTGCAATAGTAATATTGCTATACTTACTGCAGCAGGTACTATAACTATAAGACTGGTTTTATACTATTTGTTTGGTGAAGCCATTAAAATAGAATATAAAAGAAGATGCTATGACGATACTAGAAGGTTTATTCCAATAACGATCGGTAACCAGTCATTGACACCAAGATTAGGCGCAGTATGAATTTGGCGGTCTAAATAATCTACTGCGCAGAATCCTGGTGTCAATCAATGGTTTCGGATTGTTGTTAGAACAAACCTAAAGTGTACGCACCTTTGCATTATTACACTTTACGTCATATGTCAAATTAAAGCTAGCTGAGCTAGCAGTTTTGGTGAGAATAAATGCCATGTTTTTTTAAATAGCTTCATTTAAATGATATAAAATTATGGACTTCAAATAAATCAAAGTACCACTTGTGTCGCTATTTTCATTATACTATTCCGTCACTCGAAGTGCGCCCATTTGTCATATCGCAAAATACCCAGACAACACACCAAATCACAGAGATATCCACAGAATATCTTTTGTGGATATCCATTATATCCACAGAATATCAGAAATATCCCGTAGATCTAATATGGATATCCAAATGTCCGTCTATATCCAGAATATAGACGATATCCTATGGATATCCAGCAAAATATCTAATGGGTATCTTCCAGACAATACAAGAAATCCCAGAGATATCCACAGAATATATTTTGTGGATATCCAATATATCCAGTGGATCTAATATGAATATCCAAATGTCCGTCTATATTCCAGGATATAGAAGAGATTCGGATATTCAGCAAAATATTTTATGGGTATCTTTTAGTAGAGATTCATAAGTAACCAATGATTATTGAATAACGTCAAAAGAAAATAGCAGAGATAAAAAATATTTTCAACACTCAAAATATTTTCAACACTCTGCCTTTGATTTTGCCCACTCCAGTCTCTAATGGAGTCTGATTGTGATACCAATTTCGATCGAACTCAATTACGGCGGGTTGAGCATGAGTAGGTATTCAACGAGCGAAAGTGGTATCGCCATCTATACTTAGTAAGCAAAATCAAAAATTACATCTAGTGGATATCCACCATGGTTTGCGTTCACGCCTAGACTTTGATATATTTAGTGGATGTCCATGGGATATTGAATACACCCTAAAAAAAATCATTTTAAATATCGGAACGGTACTATTTAGCCACAATGGCGTAATTTTTTAATAATTTGCTATATAATTACTATTATTTATGGACATTTCCATGTTAATAAATTACATCTCATGGATATAAAACAGATACCACACATTCAGTGGATATTGGGATGTCCAGTAGATATCCAAAGGATTTGGTGTGCTGTCTCGGTAGTGTATATATGTCGTCTCTCTCTCGATGGGTGAAACGCCAGTTTAACTTACACTTGACTAATATATGTTTATTGTTATTATAATACATTTTGCGCCTATTGCTATTGTAAACACCTTATTAACACCATTCACCCCCACTGAAAAAATCAAAACCGCCGCCCCTGGGTTGTACATATTAACTTCTTTTATTTATTTTCTAATTTATTATTCCATCTATTTTTTAAAATGATAAATAATTCTAAACTGAAATATGACAAAGACTAAAATAAAGAAAAAAATCTCAAAACCATATGTCATAAAATATACGCACGACCGCTTTCCTCCAGAAAAACTACTCCTTTGGATCATACCACAACTATAATTGTTTTATACAAAAAAACACCTGCTAGCAGATATTATATTAGTTATTTATGAAACCAGTTACGACAAAATGCCTTATTTTATGTAACGGGTGAATATTTGCAGGACTAGGAAAGCGAGGTCCCGCAACACGAACAAGTTACATAAAACGACATTTCGTAACGTGTTACATACAATATTTTTTTTTTAATTTTGACTAAATTATATTTATAAAAATGTGTTTCGGTAAGAAATTATTGGCATCTAGGCAACCAATGTTATTACTTTCTTCTATTGTTAGTTGCATATACATTATTTTATTGAAAAATAGAACAATAATAATTATTTATTCTCAATGACTTGTAGTGTGTTTATATGGCTTATAAAGTTATTTAGTTTTCAAAAACGTGGGCTATTTTATCGTGTATTGTGTTTTAATAATTTTGTGTTAATTTAGACTGGAAAATAAGGAGCAAAACATCATTATTACTAGGTTTCAAGTTTAACCAAATTCTATTTTTATAAGTCAACCGGCCTTCTTTGATATAAACTTTTATTATTAATGTATATTGTTTATTTTAAAACGTAAAAAAGGTTTATTTTTATTTATTTTTCTTTTCGCAACTGGTGACATAATCAATTATTTATACATCAGGGACTAAAACATACATTTTACTTCCTCATTTTAGGGACTGAAGTGCCACTTTTACTCCCTTGGGACTAAAATATTTTAGTCCCGCAAATAATAATACCAGTAGAAACCATATCAAACTACTTTATTCGGGAGGTAATATAATAAGACCTCTTTTATAAGCAAATAAATTTATTGATTTTCCTGAAAATAGTTTTGTCTGAAACTTTGCATAAATTTTTATTTACTAATAGTACAATTATTAAAAATAATTAATTACTGTAAAACGTCAAAATAATCAATTTCAATTTGATATTTAGTGTAGTGTATACCTACTTGATTTACGTATATTGTGTTGCCTATATTCAAGGAACTGTCAACGAGGACATTAGTTTTTGTTTAATTTTTCTTTTTTTTTTTTTCAATAAATGTTCATAAACATTAAGTAATCCATTAAATAATCGTTATAAAATAATATCGACTGTTTCTTTTCACATAATTATCGTGTACATTTCCAAGTTTTAGTCCCTTGGTATATAATATACCATTTCGAAACCAGTTTGATAATGTTCAACATTAAAGTAGAGTTAAATCATTTAGACACTTGCTGCGATTACAAAAACGTCACTTTATATGTCATTAGAAAAATTAATTAATCAAAGTTCGAGTGTTGAATTTTTTTCTAACTCTGCTATTTTTCTTTGGATATAATTCAATGCCTTATGTGGTATTAGCCAATGGCGTAGTTATTTTCCGGGGAGACACTTGGCTTAGATATTTTGTTTTTTTTTTCCACCAAGTAAATACTTTCACATGTTCTGCAAGTATAATGGACCAACATTTTTGGAATAATTACAAGCTATGCACATACTATTTACCACGTAAGATAATCCTTTATATGGCACATTCTTTGTGTTCAATCTCTCTTTAGTTAGAATATTATTTCTCAATTTTTTATATAAAAAATATTATGTATTCTTTTCTACAAGCCGGGTAAACTCTGTATTTTTTTATAAATTTTGTCCTTACTAGGCCTCCTAAGTAATCCAGGATAGTTATATAGCATATAGGTACGAATTTAAAAAAAATTCA